CCTCTTGGAACTTCTTCTCCATGACGGTGCAGTCGACGGAATCCAGTCTGGCCCAGGAGCTCGAGCGCATTGCCCTATGTGACGACGAAACGGTGGATGAGTTGATGGCTGAAGTTGGAATAGATCCAATCAGCTTAGATAATGACGAGTAAAGCATACCGGTGCATGTTGCAGGTATTGCCTGAAGTTGGTGGGTTCGGTAGGAGGGTTCCTGAGGTAACCTCATGCATGCTCCGGGCCTCGTCCAGTTCCTCTTGGAACTTCTTCTCCATGACGGTGCAGTCGACGGAATCCAGTCTGGCCCAGGAGCTCGAGCGCATTGCCCTATGTGACGACGAAACGGTGGATGAGTTGATGGCTGAAGTTGGAATAGATCCAATCAGCTTAGATAATGACGAGTAAAGCATACCGGTGCATGTTGCAGGTATTGCCTGAAGTTGGTGGGTTCGGTAGGAGGGTTCCTGAGGTAACCTCATGCATGCTCCGGGCCTCGTCCAGTTCCTCTTGGAACTTCTTCTCCATGACGGTGCAGTCGACGGAATCCAGTGAGCGCTTGACACTGTCGTAGGTATCCGCAAGGCATCGAACGTTTTCAGGCAGGAGGCCCAGCCGCGCTTGCTTCTCCTTGGACAGGTGAGGCACCTTGTACGCGTTGTCGCCAAAACACTTCATCGTTTCGACAAGGCACGCTTGGAGAGTCATAAACGTCCGGTCCAAACACTCGAACGGGTACGTGTCGAATGCTGCATGGACATTGGTGATGAGGTCGTCCACAGTTCGGGCTGATGTGCGATGCTGGAGGGACTGGATGGCGGCGAAAAATCCAAGGTCCAAGATGTTCATGTCGGGTGAGTTGGGAGATTGCGGCTTGATCGCGAACGTCCAACCAGATTTACTGTAGCTGGCGAAGGCTGCCAAGAGCTTCGCGTCGTCTGAAATCACATGTGCGCGCGCATTGTCGTGCTGCAGGTGGACAAGTCGCTTGGGGCATGGCCACTTGGACACGATCGCCGGTAAGACCTTTTCCACCAGGAACGCGCGGTATACGTCCTTGGTCACGGTCAACGCCTTGGTTTCATAGGTCCCTGCAGCTCAGTTGGCACTTTTAAGCTGGGCTTGGACGGACTCAACGAACGGCCAAGTTCCAATCTTGCCGTCCCACCATGTGCCCGTAGCGTCGTCGTACCGAGGTCGGGCCACGGCGCTGAGAAACATAATTTTGGAAATGTATCTCTTTGACTTGCACGTCCGTTGAGGATCCTTCTCGCCAGGAACCAGATAGTACCGTCTCGTTGTCTTGGTGATGTAGAACCATTTTTCGTCCAAATGGACGTAGTCCATCATGCCGTCGAACTCCATGTTCGCCCGAACGAAGTTGGATGCAAACTTCATGCGGCTGTACTTGTTGGCATCGGTCAAACTGGGACGGATAGCATTCAAGTGCGAACGAAAGATCCTGAGCTTGAGATACCGGTGCAGCGAACCGCAGCTTATTCCTACGACCATTTTGACTAATTCTATAGTATTGTCGTTGACGTATACCTGTCAGCTCCGAGATTGAGCGCAGTGTTGTGATGATTCCTGTGTATTTTTCCCTCGCTGACACATGACTTGACAGGACTTGGCGCGCTTGTTCACATAAGATAAACCAATCAAACACGAGAAATTCGACGATGGGCAGACGACAGATAAGTTTGAAAATCACTTGAAAATATAATGACGTGTCATTTCCCCCCTCCCGGAAACTACGCAAGTATTTTGGGACGGAGGGAGTATGTATGTCCCCTTTCAACATTAAGTCTTTAAATCAGTTGTTTACTATTTTTCAAAATGACTGAGAGTACAACAATTGGACAGTGTTATTTCAGAAATATCTCTATAAATTGCAAGTACATACGGAAAATAGCATATATTATTTTACTGACGAGAAACTTGCCTTCTCGTCAGTAATTCTTTGAAATACGACGAGATTCACTTACTGATCAAATACAAAGTATCAAGTCACTAAACTATTATCCTATCAAACCGAACAAGAGAAAAACGTGAACGATATATTGGTCAAGTTAT